CCCCCCCAAGTGGTAGTTTTCAAACTAGTTTTTTTTCCGATCAAGTTCGTGTCTATACTCATTTTCGCGCTCAGGGACAACTAAGAAAAGGATCAATAAGCCCAAGCGAATGAAACAGGAGTTTCCGTCAAGCTTGAGCCACTCTAAGCCAAATTTCTAAAATTAGAATTACTAGTTAGCTCGACGATGGCTGCGAAAGAAGTGAGATTGGCCAGACTAACGAGCTGTGGCGTAAACAACGGCCAGAACGGGAGGAAGTGCATCTCATGTCGCGTAGAAGGCCTAATTAGTCGGAGTAGTTTGAGATAGACAGCCAAACACTTAGCAGATCTTCCAGAAAGTTCGAGTAGAGGTCAATTGGTTACTCTGGTCAGATTAATGAGCACTTCGTGCTCACATAAAAAATTGAAACTACCTAGACTTTGAGAAGGAGAGGATTCCACGATTTTTGATGCTGTACCCTTCTGCTTATACTTTTTAGTAAGCCACACCAGAAGCCTCTTGAGCTTGTTGCGCTGGCAAAGGGAACTCGATGAGCTTTTTCCAGAGAGAAGAATTACGGAAACAAACGCCCCAGACGTTGACATCTCGGGAATGAGGCTGAATGGTAGTGACCGGGGGCCTTCCCGGATCCCGCCCGCGCTTTCCTCGATGCGCGGCACTCGCGTCGATAACAAAATCATGCACCGTTGAATGTGGAGTACAACCAGAGGTGAGAGGGCGCAGACAGGTAGCGCGTTAGAGTATGTCTAGGGAAGGTCGGTCGTACGCCGCTGTGGGCGGAGTCGGAAGACGGCTCACGGGTGTAATTATCCTTCGGCCAAGTCCCCGTGTACTTTTAAGTGGGAAGTAGCACGGTACTGCAGTTGTGGACATATCAACCTCGCGCATAGCAAGGACCAGCATTCGTGGGGGGGGGGCTCTGTCTCTACGGTGAAGTTTGCCTACGGGTGGGCGTGGAACAGAATGTTTTTTGACTAAAGCACTCAACAGGATATTTCCCGTGACACACGCTGTCACCCTGGTAAATACTAGTTTTGTAAAGAACAGTGACTGCAGCATGTGAGCATCTTTGTATGCTCTCTATCCCGCTGTAAGATAGGTCGTAATTGCGGACACAGTGTCAGGCGCGACAGCGGTCTCGAAGATTCACGCTCCTTCCTACGTCATGATGCATTTACAGCAGTTGAGTGGCATTAGGTTTCAATACAAGCAATGAATCTTTAGGAGGCGTTAACTACCAGCTTTTCTAAAGCCACTGCCACGAGTGCCACCAGTACGCAATTACGACCCGTCTGCCTCCTGGGTACAGAGTGTAACGATAGTTCCCACAGAACCAGCAAAACCCAGCCACTGCATGTTTTCGACATAGTACTGTCGCAACAAACGTTCAAGACCAGGAGGAAATCCTGATTGATGAGCCTGCTCTGGTGAAGTCTAGAAAAACATTGGGTGTTTTTTTAAACTCACTTCAGAAGCGTCAGAGTAATCAGACCCCTTACCCCTGAGCCATTCGCTGTAAAAATCGGCAGTCAGACGGACTTTGTGGATATCATATGATCGATTCATTGGGCACTTAGGAGCTACTTTGAGGCAATATTTTTCGCTGAAAAAGAAGTTGTTGGGGGAAATTTTGTAGGAGAGCCCTTCTCAGGGGGACTTGGCACGTACACAGAATACTGCGCTAAAAAAAGAGGATAAATTATAGCGTAATCGGAGTACGAACAAGTGCCTTCGCTCATCAGTGCAACTCAATGATGAGCCTCGCGCTTTAGCATTAACTCGGAATCTTTGCCAGCATAGCTCAATGTCGTTCAGGCTATTAGGGGGTGAGTTCCGCTTGCTCTCCGTCTTCGCTCTTTTAACCTCACGGGATTGGTTTTCACGTCGGGCACAAAGATCATCAGAGACAACGCTGCGACTTCGTTCCAGGAACTTCAAAATTCGGGGTCATCATTCGAAGACTGGACCAAAAAGCTGTCCGAACCTCTCCTGGCTTTAACTCAGAGGAGTTACACATCCATAAAATTACATAAAATTAATGGAGTACCCTCAGGCATGTCCATCACGAAAGCTAGCCAAACTCGTTAGTGAGTTTTATCTAGACAAAGATAAACGGGCTGTTGACTGCAAACAAACTCACGCTTGAGATCGGCGTCCGCCAAACGGACGACATTTTCCGGCGGCGTTGGAAAGTGAGGAATCCATTCAACTAAAAAATGAACAAAAATCTGTTATTGCCCAAAGAAAATAGGCCATAAAATTGAAAATTCTCAAGGAAAAGAAGAAAATGTACCAGTTTTATGCGTGAAGTTCTTCACGGTTCGCCATTCACCCCAGACACCAAGCTGCACATGAACTTGTTGGTATTCTGTATTCATAAAGTCTAATACAGCCCAATTTGGTGTTGCTAAGGCAGCTATCAGAACAACGACTGCAATCTGGAATTCCATCGATGAACTAAGGCTATTTTGGTCCAAAATATTCATAGAGTTCCTTGCATGACTATGGGGAATTCCAGGCAACCGCCAAAACAACCCACGGCGCAGTTCGGCGACCGGAAGGGTATTTCGCACTTTTGCTGCTCCCCATCCTCGGGTCGAGCCATCAAGTGGAGACGTGTGAAATCTTGTGAAGCCACGAAGTGATACGAGCGGTGGTTGGTAGAAACTACTAGCCAACTCTTGTAAAGCAATGAGAAACTATACAAATACCTTTGCCACCACGTCGCACGGTGGTCCCCGGTGTGGGTTTGTATACGGCGTGCGGTTGTATCTGGAGGGAGGAAGGGGTTGTATCTACCCCGAAAAATTTTTTTGATGATCCCATTCTACCGGCGCTATCCACATCGACTCCCATGGGGGCAGGGGGAGAGGGTGCCGTACCTGGCCTTAAGAAAGCGGCGAAGTTCTGGGAGAAAAGCGAGAAACTGGAAAATTCCGGAAGAATGGGCAAGAAAGTTCGGAGGAAAGTAGTAAAATGGCAGGTAGTATGGGAAATGTGAAAAAAGAGATATACCAGAGGAGGAAAAGTTTGAGGCGGGGGTCCTACTTGGCGTACTTTTCTGCAGCGACAGAACGTGCCCTGTTTAACATGGTGGCTCGACGAGTTTGATCAAACTTCTAGTGTTTTTACAGTGGGATTCTTCGAAACGGAACTTGTAAATCGGAACAGTAAGCAGCGAAAGTGCAAAATGCCCCCTCGTCGCCGAACTGCGCTCACTCCACTATGTTCTGTTCGTGTACATAACCTGGGACAGCGCTCAGACCAGTGTGTAAATTTGGGACAAATGTCACGTACCCAAGCTATCACCGTGGCTATAGCCATGAAACGACGTTGCCAAATCATTTTTTGATAGGATTGAATATTTAGAATTTGAGAATCCCGTAGTTCAACGGCTTTGTCCAGCAATTGCATGTTTGTTGTGGGAGAACCGATCGTAGCTCTGAAAAGCTTCGCGTAAACAATGGCATCTTCAGAGACCAGTGAACAGCTTCTAAGAAGTAATTCTTCAATATGAAGTAGGGAAATAAGTAAAACTTGAAAAAAGGTATTGTGTAGTGTTGGATGAGGAGATAGCAATTGCATTATTTGAAGTTATTCAAAGAAACTTGGAGGCGATCTCAGGCTAAGGACTTACGTTCTAGATGAATACATCGCCATGGTTTTCCTAGATGATGGAAATTTCAAGCAGGAAGTGTCTCAGGAGGGATAACCGGCTGAGGGTGGCTCTGGGCTGAGGGTGGCTCTTGGCAGCAGAGTATTTCGACTGAAGCTAACCCCGCCTATACAAATATTTAGTTTTCAAATGATTGACAGGAGGGGTACTTAGCATATGCTAAAGCACATGCTCTGCTCAATTCCCCGTGTTGAAGAGTAAGATAAATGTTAGCTTAAGTGAAACAGTGGAAAACAAAATCTAAGGGATCATAGATGCGGGTAAGGATGACGGCGGGTTCAAATAAACTAATTTTTCGGCCACATTGTAACTAGTCATCCAAATGTCTGGCCCAAAATCTCTAGGCAGTCTCAGAGAAAGAAGGAGCCAAAGTGCTAAGAAGAATAACGAAGAAGAGCACGATTGAGGTGTATGGGAGGAGGGCAGTGGCACGTTCGAGTGGTCCCCCGTCGATGGGCGGAGCTTCCAAGCGAAAATCGAGAGGTAACATAAGAAGAACTAGCCACCATGAACCACATATTACTTCTTTACTAAAGGGGAAATCGTACTAGGAAGTGTATAACTGCGTGTACAGCTTCCAAATGTTGCCTTCTGGCAACTGGTAATGAAAAGGTTTTGAATTGATGAATGTGTTTCTGTGAAGTAGAGTTGGAGGTTGTAACATAGAGACGAAGGCAACTATCGCTAGCGCTAGCACACGCGTACGAGGCTAAGTTCTGAAGGGTTTACGACCAGGGCGGATAATCAAAAACGGATCTCGTGAGATACGTTTCCAAAGCAACAGATGTGCACTTCCACACCCACATTGGCTCATCGTAGGGGTTATCATTACAAGTAACTAAGAAGACTTCAAAGTAAACATGCTACTCGGTTACGGATATAGCTTTACACAAGATATAACAAGCATAAGCAATCACGATTTTTTATTTATTGTTCACAGCGAGAGGTAAACAACAAACAAGCGTGTTATTCAGCCAGGGGACGGGCACCAATAAAACGGTAGCCAGCGCATGTCGTAGATTGGGAGTCCCTGAGAGAGGGGGTCGTGTTTGGTCAGCGTAGGAAGGGATCCGCCTTTGGCCGGGGAGGTTTTTTATGATTAGATTTTTTTTCGTTTATGCTCGCTATTCTTAACGTTGGGAAACTTCTATGTGGAGGGGGGGGGAGGAAAAAGGGAAGGAGGGGTCGTATCTGGCTTTGAATTCTGCGATACCGAGCGAAACGGATCATCTGTGCTGTGGAGTGTATTCCTTTCCCAATGTTTGGCTTTCTTTGCTTCTAATTGAATTGCCGACTTTTTTCTGTTCTACATGTGCTAAATCTCACGTCTTTCACCCTTCCCTTCCCCCCGCTAGACGGGAGTTTTTTTGGGAAAAAATGGAAAAAATTATTGGAAAAACGGGAAAAGTGGCAGGAAGCTGGTAAAAATTTGCAAGATGGTAGGTAGGATGGGGAGGAGGCCGTATTTGTCTTCATGATTTTTCAAATATTTTTCACTATTATTTATGTTTATCCGTTTTCTTTATATTTTTTCATAGTTATAGAACATTATTATTCATTTATATTTACTTTGAAAAAAATTCCGTGGAATCGTCGTGACATTTTACCAGTGACAGGACGTGCCCCAACGGGAGGAATTCAACAAAAGGAAATAAACCGTTAGCAGTATAAAGAGTTAAGTGGAACCAGTGAAGGAAAGAGAGAAAGTAAGAAAATAAAAAAGGTAAGTAAGAAGCCTAACCAGCATAGCCGCAGTTTCATAGAAATTAATGGGTTTGACCTCGAAAGACGCCATCGGATCAATATCCATGAAACGGAATAAAAATGAAGGTGTAGGGACCGCTACCGTACCACCATGGTGGTACGGTAGACACTTCTCTCGGTCCTTTTTGGTTTTTTGGAAAGATTTAAAATAAACATAGCTATTACACCGCTATCAATCGATAGTTACCTGGTAACTGAGGCTTACTTCGCGAGTTGGACGTGCGGCCACAGAGGCCGGGTCAACAACCATTATTTCCTAATTATCGCGTGACAAGAACCCACTCATTCCGAACCAATTTCCAGGTCTATGTTTAAAATTAGATTCATGAACTGCTAGTTATCCAGTTGCCCCCCCCCCTCCCCCACCTCCGGAAGTGCAACAAATAATTTTGTAGGTAGTTTTTGGCATTATTAAAGCTGTGAAAACCATTGAGCAGAGGGTATATGGGGGTGTTTATCTCAGCTTCATTCTCCACATCAATACATGTGACATGTTGACATAACTGTTTTGTGCTTTGGCAGTTAGCCAAGGACTTTAAAAATCAATGCTAGGAAGCCCAAAGGAATGCCGCCGAAAAATAAGAAAACAACAAATAGCAACGGTGACTAGAACTACATAAATCCTGAATGTTTTTTTTTGCTTTGCAGTACTGTTTCAATCGTTCCCAATTTCCCGTTGAAACATTTCTCACATTTCTTGCCCTTGATTGTTTCCATAATTATTTAATCACATACACAAGTTCTTTCTTTGTTCCTCATATTACAGCTTACGGAACACCTGATGGAGCATTGGTGTTGAAAAAGCTGAAATATTTGACCCATTATCATAGTTGATCCGCTTTTTTGAACTTATACCCCCTAGCTTCACGGGTTCCGATTGGTGAACTCGTTCACGTTCACTTTCTAAAGGGTCCAAATGTAACTTGACACATTGCGGAGGATTGCGCATCATTTCATCTTTTTTCATCCATAATCGGTGCTTTCATCAGTTTTCTTCACTCTCATATGAGGAACACTCCATATCCTGGAGATCGGATGGGCGTGGCCGCGCACTTCATTTAAACGTTGGAGGTGGTTACGCCTCTCGTGCGACATTTCCGCTTTGCGCCAGTTGTACCCACGTCTTTGTCTAGCACAAGACCCTATGATAATTGTCACAAATGGAAAGATCCCACAAAAAACGCATCGTGCGCCATATTCGAACAAAGTGCGCAGCCACGCCCTCCCCATGTCAGGGTATAAGGCGTGTGTGTATTCGGTGCAGGAATGAAATAGATACCAAATATACCATGCGAAACAGCTAACTGAGAAAAATTTATGACACACTATGTGTGTCACGCGGTCCGTAACGTGGTTAGGGCATCACGATGCATTCTAACCGCGCTCTCGTTCGCTAAGCCTCATGAAACTTGTTCCATCGCTTCAGACGTTAAATCAGCTGAAATCGTCAAGGTTTCCCGGGCATCACATCAATGGTCATCATTCCTGCAAACGAGGGAATGTGGATAGGATCGCAGCCAGTGCAACCTTTTTGACCAGTCGATGCTATCCAGAGTCCGCAGCAAATGGTGGAAAAGGCTGCCATTACTGCGCTCCAGTCCATACTCCTTCATACGCCCTCCTTGTGCGGGGGTAATGACTGTAAATTCATTCTGAGCTCCAAAAAAGTACTCATTTGACCAATAACTTCGTTTCCATATACTTGACAGGGAGTCGATATAGGCGACACTGGTACTGCACAGCCTCTTTCCTTGCGAGGGTGCAGCTTGTGGTTAGGCAACTGCAATAGCAGAAAACTTGATTGCTAATGAAGTTCTCTAAAATGAGGAGGTATCTTCTAGCTCCAATCTCCTCAGATACTTCCTAGTGGAAGTGCCCACTCCAGCAAAGGACTCTGCAAAGACAATCTCCCTGTTCAGGGGATTCCCAGGTTTGCAGTAGAGCGGAAGCAATCCTTCAGGGCTTTCTGAACTGCTTTCCTAAACACACTTGTCTCCCTTTTTTTACTTGGCAGAACTACCAGCTGCTCTGCTTGCACACAAGGAGGAAGAGAGTTCACAATCGTTGAGTGCAACAACCTCACTTTACTCTTTTCCTTGTTTCTCCCCGTGCAGCCATTTTGAGTATACGAAACTTCAGGCAACGGGAAAGGGATTCTAAGTTGGAGAGACTTTGAAGAGCAATGAGTATGAGTAGTACTGAGTACGTTTTCCTGAAAGTAGGGAGTACGGTGCTCAGCCAGATTGATCATGGTGTAATCGCCACAAATGGTTCAAGAGAATCCCGGCGTTGGAGCAATTCGTAGGCGTCCTTCGCCTGTTCCACTTTCGCGGTTTCACAGTAAGTAACGAAGGCGCTTCATAAAAGGCAGTTCTGACGCCCTAGTTTCCCGCCCACCGAACTCAAAGGCCTTTTTCTGTTACGAGTTCAGGTTTTACACCGTATTTTTCGCCACTGCTTTATGGCGTTGGCACTGAAAGAAACAGCCAGTGAGCCACAGGAAGCAGGATATCGCTTTTGGCACAGAATGAGCGGCCCGGAAAACTCTACTGTGAGGCTGCCAGGGTGTCTGAAGGGTGTCCCCCACTATTTTTTCCTGCATTTTTTCGTCCCGTAGAGTCATTCAGCGACTACAGGCTTGCAATTTTATGTTATCCTATCCACATATGCTATCGTGGGGTTTGTCATTGCGTGGAGCAGATGTCTGAGGCGGAGATTTCCCGAGTTTTTGCTTCGCCTTACGCGACTCTCCTTTACACAACAGCTTTCCGTGGCGATTATAGTTTATTGTATTAGGTTGTCCGGAAAGTTCTCAGCGTTTGGGTGTTTCACTTTAAACGATCGTAACTTTTTTAATACTCATCGGATTTAATCGAAATAGGCACCATTCGAATCAGCACACTTTTGCCAATGTGACAGCAGTCGAGAAATCCCATAAAATAAAAAAACGTGGTGGTCGAAAATCAGCTGAAAATCCAACTAAGAGGCTTTTTGCCTAGTCCTGACGTATGAAGTATTTTCCAGCAAGGGAGTTCTGAAAATGTTAGAAAAGGTGATAGTCGGTTGGCGAAAGGTCTGAAGAATATGGCGGTTGAGGTAGAACTTCAACCCCCAATTCGTTCAATTTATGGATATTGTGAAACGTGTGGGCGGGCGTTGTCATGCAAAGGAATCGGACCCGTTTCTTGTTGATAAGTGTTGGCTGCATCTGACAAAATTT